CATTCAAATCATTTTTTGAAGTTGACTGCATTTTTATATGTATATTTTGGCACAGTCAACTTCAAAAAATGATTTGAATGCCTTCCCGGTCGAATTTTGAGCTGAAATTTGGTATGAACAAACTAGACTTGATGAAGAACATGCTCAAAAAAATTCATCAAAAAATTCCAGCGGGAACCGTCCCAAACGGCGGAGTTCGGACGGCGCCTCCCGTCCCTCCGGCTGGACCGGATCACTTCTCTCTCTCTCTCTCTCTATATATATATATATATACCTGAGAGTCTGAGACCTGGCCCGGCCCGGACCCGGCGGTTACACGGGCCGATTCCGGGCCCTCCAATCTAGGCCCGGTCGGGCCCGGCCCGAACTGAGTCCATCCATAGGCCGAACAGGGTAATCTTCACCCTCCTTGAATGGGTGAACAAAATTACTCTCGCTATGAACTATTATTCCGAAATGGCGAATGCTGCCATGATAGACAAGTATTGTGCTATGTGCAAGAACCACACTTGGTCTCTTATTCCTCCCCCATTACAATATAATATTTGGTGTAAATTGATTTGGTGTATCGGGCAAGCCAGCAAACGTAGATCGGTATAGCGCAAGTCTTGTTGCTAAGAGATTTAATAGAAGTCCATGGATCATTAAAAAAAAGGAAGTCCAAGAATTGATATCGTAGATACATTTTACACATAAGATCTTCCCCATGTAAGATGTCTTGAGTTGAAGTCACCGTGGAGGTGAATTTGAGATAATTTTCTCAAATGATCATCTAACCCCAGTGCTACCTCGAGTGAGTAGTGGATCATTGTTTCGTCTCGCCTCAAGCAACAGTATGAGAATCAACACCTTGCTAGGAACATGATGGTGTTTGACCAAGTAGTGACGATTCTCCTCTAAGCTGTGTGGGAACTTGATGGCACATGAAATCAATCAGTTAAGAATGACTTTTTGATGACTGACTGTTCAAGCAGTTTAGATTACATCTCTCAAAGATTTGAAGTGGATTCTTGGGAGCCCAGAATTAGCCCAACGAAGATAGCATTGCTTGGATGCTAACAAAAAAGAAGATAAATCGTCACCAACGTAACTTTTTCTATGCATTGCTTGGAGGAACATGATAGCAATTAGCATATACATTACTTTAACTTAATTACTTGTGTTTATCCTTTAGAATGTTATACTTGTACAGTTGTACTACACGTCTGTGGTCTACCTCTCTTGTTTTTTTGTCTACCTCTCTTGTAATCTTGTCTTCCATCTCCTGTAACTAAGTCGCCTAATTGTCCTCCTTTAATTCGCATGTAAATATCTGGCATTGCCATCCTACTATTCTCTCGAGTTTTTTTCCGGATTAATGTGAATTAATTAATTAATTACAGAATTAATGTTGGATTAAAACTATTTACCAATATACTGCTGGGCTTAACCCTGGTCGGGGAAAGTCGCCAAACTGTTTGGCGACTCTTTAAATAATACAGAGAAGTGCGTACAAGGGAAGCAGGATTAGCTGGGAGACTAACACATGGAACAGGTGGAGCCAATTTAGAAGAAATCCACTTTTTTCTTTAAATGGCTATAACTTTCATATTTTTCTTCCATTATTTTTAAAACATATACCAAATTTTATAACGTTTTGTGATCTTTCATATGACACCAATATGTAATATATAAAGTTTTAAAAAAATCTGAAGACATATGAGGTGAAAAACTAATTGCAATTATGCACCGTCAATAAATTTAATTCTCAACCAGTTTAAACCAAAATTATGTATTCACCCCCTCAATTCAATTTTTTAATATATTTATCCAATATAGTTTTTAGTTAAATTCTTACACTTTTTAATCTACATCAACTTTTAACCAAAAAAATTTACGAAAATCTGAGGATTCGATCACATACAGTTTTTAAAAATGTCTATATTTTTGGTGTAAAAAATTCTGTGTATTTTTTTTTAAAATATTCTTTGTACCGGCCCAGTGCACTGGCTCTGTCCCTGCGTATAATGCTCTCATTTTCAGTTATAACAAAGAGTGTCTAAAGTGCAAATTAGGAATTTAAGAATAGAGCGTAAAGAACTTTATGTGATTAATCCTCATATTTTCGTAAATTTTTTTTGGTTAAAAGTTGATGTAGATTAAAAAGTGTAAGAATTCAACTAAAAACTATATTGAGTAAATATATTGAAAAATTGAATTGACAGGGTAAATACATAATTTTGGTTTAAACTGGTTGAGAATTAAATTTATTGACGGTGCAAAATTGCAATTAGTTTTTCACCCCATATGTCTTCAGATTTTTTTTTAAACTTTATATATTACATATTGGTATCATATGAAAGATCACAAAAAGTTATAAAATTTAGTATATGTTTTAAAAAAATGGAAGAAAAATATGAAAGTTATAGCCATTTAAAGAAAAAAGTGGATTTCTTCTAAATTGGCTCCACCTCTTCCATGTGTTAGTCTCCCAATGAATCCTGCTTCCCTTGTACTTCCCTTGTACGCACTTCTCCGTATTATTTAAAGAGTCGCCAAACGGTTTGACGACTTTCCCCGACCAAGGTTAAACCCAGCAGTATATTGATAAATAGTTTTAACCCAACATTAATTCCGTAATTAATTAATTAATTCACATTAATCCGGAAAAAAACTCCTATTCTTTCATAAGCAACTATTTGAAATATTTCACCATTTCAATAAGAGCTCAGTGAATTCAATAATTTTAGTTGTTTTAGATATCGTATGCTTTTGAATAGGCTGTCAATAAAAACGTGTTTTTGTAAGTCGACTATAACGTAGGGTTTTATATTCATGTATTTATACTCTAAGTAGCATGGAAACTCTTACGGAAGACTAAAAAGCACATTCTCGTTCAGAAAGTTCTTTGGAAACTCTCCAGACAAGCGTTTTTGAGCAAAAGTTGATGTTTCCTGTTTCATATTCACGTTTCCATGCAACATAGTTTATACACCCGTAACTTCTGATACCGACCCAAATTTCCATTTTCATGAGCACGACCTGTAGTCTTATCCTTTTTTTAACTTGAAACCAGCCAACCATGGGCTATAAAAAAGGCTAGACAACAAATAAGATTCTGAGCGAGGAATCATGAAATGGAATAGTTTAAACGTTACCCGCACGGGTAGCTCAGTTGGTTGAGTGATGGGATATTGGATCAAGGAATCCTAGCTCGAGTCCCTGCAGTGACCGTGTAGAGGCCACAACCTCTAAAATGGGCTAGACCTCTGGCGCGCACGAACATATGAGCCTACTGCTATGGATGGACCCGGGCCGGTTCGGGCCCGGTTCGGGCCTAGGCCCGGCCGGGCCTCGGGTCTGTTTTGTTGGGCCCGAGCCCGAACCGGTGGCCACCGGTTCCGGGCCGGGCCGGGCCGGGCCGGTCGGGCCACCCGGTTTAATTTTTTTTTTTTTCCTTTCTTCCCCCACCCCCCCCACCCCCCCACCCCCCCCAAACCCCCCCAAACCGGCCTAAACAGATAGCCCAAGCCCAACAGCCCAAAACAAATGAAAAAAATTAAAAAAAAAATAGATTTGGCCCGGACCCGGGCCCGAACCGGCCGGGCCGGGCCGTCAAAACCATGAACCGAGCCCGGAACCGCCCCACCCCCGGGCCTCCGGCCCGAACCGGACCCGGACCCGGATAACCGGGCCGGGCCGGGCCCGCACAGTAGCGGGTCGGGCCGGTCCCGGGCCGGGCGGCCCGAACCGAGGCCATGCCTACCTACTGCCACTCCGCCGACCGAGTCACCGTGATTTACATCCTCCCATCTGCCTGTCGGGTCAGGGCGTGGGGGGCTCCGGGGGTGGGAGATTCCACCTTTTGGATCAAGAATAGGTTAAAAGTTAAACCATTGTCAGAAAGAAGGTCAAGGTCCTGAAGGTTTGTTGAGTAGGCCAGATTTTATGTACTCCCTGTCCCCAAAAATACGTCCCAGTTTGACTTAACATGCTTATTAAGAAAATGAGAATGAAGTTGGTTGAATAAAAAAAAAGGTGAATGAATATTAGCCACACAAAACTTCAAAAAAGAAAAATAAGAATTCTTTGGAATATCCCTAAAAGATAAATGGAAATAACTCTTTGGAATATCCCAAAATGATAATGGGAAGAATTTCGTGGAACGAAGGGAGTAATTTTTTACAATGCCTAAAAGTATAACTATTGCTTTTGACACTGATATTTTGGTCATACATTTATTGTACTTTGTGAAATAGGACTAGATTTTTGTCACTTAATGTTTTGACATTATTCTGTCAAATTTCACAAAATTTCCGACTGATTTTCACTGGATAAGCATCTCAGAAGGATCAAAATTAAAAAAACAAATACGTAGTAGAAAATAATGAACCAAAACTGAATGCCCGGAATAAAGGATAATGACTGATGGTCAAAAGTAGAAACATTTTCTTCCAACTTTGCTCATATCAAACAGTACAAACTTTTAGTCGTGCACAAAATTGGGAGGAAATGTAAAAAAAAAACATTTATGTAACAGTATGCCTCACAATGATATGATCTAAGACACTTTGAATAGTGAGAAACAAATTATCATGGAAGGTTTTTATAATGTCCATGATGCACATTGGCTGAATCCTGGCATATTAATCTTAACTGATTGAGTTACACAATGACTTGCCAACTTAGATCGACCTAAAATTACTTATGCTTAATTCTTCCATATGGGAGTCATGAACTTCATTTTGACTGGAAGCATTTTATTATGTACTTAAAATAATGCAACTGTATCTTTTCCAAGCAACCAAATTTCTTTTGGAACTTATGTGGCGAAATTGGTAGAGATCACACCCCTTGGATTCAGATCTGATGACAAGCCATCGTTCATGTACTACTTTAATTGTAGTCTTACAATACTTCCTCCGCCATGAAAATGGTCATGTTTCAAGAGTTCTATTGTCATAAAAGAATCATGTATTTGATACATAAAGACAACTTTTTAAGATAACTGCCAAAATTGATTAACGAACAAGAATAATGATTTTTAATGAATATACATATATAGTCAAGGTAACAAAGAAAACTTTAAATATTAAGTATCATTTATAACTTGTAAGAGTTGTGTCTTGCAAAGTTGCAAAAAAAGATAATTGAATAGGAAAATACAATATGTTACTGCTAAACATTCATTACCAGGTAGGCGGTGAGGTTCCTTCACAATCTTTAGAGATACTTTCTAGCGAGAGCTCTGACCTTTGTATCGAAATGAGATGATGTAATTCGAGAGCCAGGTAAGTAGAGGGGATTAAGAAGAGACTGCAAATTCAAATTTAAAGCTTGGTCAACTTCTTGTTGTCTGTATCTAGAGGCTGGCCCAGGTCCGATTCTGGAGCTAAGCATGTAAAAATAAATAGGAAACACGTTTTTTTGTTCTGTACCAGAACAAGTACCCAAAACCGGTCCAAACTGGTTGCGGTTATGTTTTTTAAAATTTTAGAAATAGGCTAAAAACCTGGAACAAGAATCGGATCGTAACATGAACCACTATATACACAGTCAAGCATCCGGTCCCCCCATTACTTAACCCAGAACAGGCCTAGGTCCACCCGCTATATGTATCACAGTAATAAAAAAGAAGTGCAGTAGCAAGAACCTTTCATGTAATAAAAGGTAGAAATTATATACTGGAAAAGACACTAGTATTCTAGAAATGTGCCATTAATGTCCAATTCCAAATACAGTTAAATTTTTCAAATGAAACCCTATTAAGAAGTAGAAATAACAAACCTTTATATAAAGCTCGTGAACTTCTTGGAAGAAGCTTTTGATTCCATCATCATTGCGAGAATCGTGAAGCAGCATCAGCCGGGTATGTTTGGCCAAATAGTCAAAGAAAACTATACATATTTTCCAAGAAAAATCTAAGAAATAAATCAAGATGCTAGCAATTTTAGTTTGGTTATTGAAGTTGACTTATCACTTATGAATTTGGTGTTTCACTTTTCTACATCATGACTTTGGTTTTGCATTTAATAGTACTAGTATAATGGATTATGCGAGGTCAATGGTTGTTATGTTTGTATAATTTGTGTGCATATATTTTAATTACATATTGAATATATCATGTTTGATATATCTAAGTATATATAATCTTTTCAAAATTGTGCGCCTTGCATGAATCAGGCGTGTGCTTTTTTGTGCTCTGCACCTCTGGCTATATAGGCCATTAACGCGCTTTAAGAACTAAAGACTGATGACAGGAGAAGACTTGGTCTTCATAAATTGATGAAAAGAAAGTAGTCAAAGTAGTGATGCGCACTCAAGGTGCTAGAGCATTCTATTGCATGAGAAGCAAAACACTTAAAAGCACTCACCTTAGGTTGAGGCACAAAGCATTCAAAATGTGCTTGCCTTACTATCCAGAATTATCGAGCACAATATATTTGAAATAATTTGAAATAAATGCATAAAGAATGACACAAGCATAGAGATCTATATACTTTTATAATCCATTTTTATAAACACTTCCAAAAATGACATACAAACAAATTAAACTCTTCAATTTCTACATTTATTTCCTCATCTACAAGTCTAAGAGAAGGGTTTGTACTAGGAGATGTGGATTGCTAATATTTGGATGGCCTCATTTAAAAAGATAAATAAGCTGTAAAGCCTTACCCCGCCTAGGCACCACAGGCATGCGCCTATGCACTTCTTGTGCTTTATCTGTGCCTGGACACCCTCGAAGCGCTTAACCTATTTAGCGCCTCATCTTGTGCGCTTAAGCGCTTGGTTTTGTCTACCGTGATTGAGAATGGAATTAGATTGGTATGAAGTGTGGGTATCATCAGAGTTTGGAATTGGATACAAGAAAAATAAGCTAAAACGAGACGGTTGGCTTAAGAGGAAAAAGAATTACAGATAACTCATTACTACTTGGTGAACTTTAGGATACACTAGTAGAAAATGTGATGATATAGCAAAATATTTTACTGGCATTTACCTAAAGAACCTACATGGACAACATCAATAGATAGTTTTGCAGATATAAAACCCCATAGCTTATGTAGTACACTAACTTAACAGTCAAAATTATATATTTGTCAAACACTCCAATGAATTAGAAGATATGAAGGATATGGCCCGCGGTGACATATACTGAAACAGCTAAATCATTGAACCGGTCAATTGCCTTCAGGAACCTGAAATAATGGTAAAAAAAGAGGTGTAGGAAGAACACCAAAATGCCTTAATGCATATAAACCATACACAGAGAGGGTTTAAAGAATTGGAATCTAACATTGCACTGGTAGTCCACGCCATATCCTGAACAATGTCCAGTGCTGCATGTAATATGAACTGGTGTTGATGAGCAGCATCCTCTTTCTAACAAATAAATTTGAAGGAAAATAAGTTAACAAAGTAATTAATTTCTGCATGCTTGTCTAAATAAAAATGGACTCTTGTTACTGGGAAATATGTTCAAGCTCAGAATGCAGAGGATAGACCAAAAACATTGCCCTCAAATAGAGGGATCCAAGCAAAAAATAATAAGTCTAACTTGAAGTAAATGGATTAGAGCATGTGTGATGTGTTACCCTCACTTGATACCAGGAAGTACTATAGTAAGATCAAAATTATTTTTTTATACCGTTTTGTGCTTTCTTAGAACAAATGCATCCCCTAACTGGCCAACAGACCTCCTAATTGCCAAGCTAAATGATTTGTTTTCAATGCTCACATTTGAAATTTATTAAATGATAAATTTATCCATAATATCAATATATGTTACGTTACTTACATAGTACTCTGTATATATTAGCTTCTTACTTTGAAATTTTACATATTATGTTCCATTTTAAAGCTGATTTGATCCCCAGCCACATTACCGGCTAATTTAGCTAGTGATAGGCTATCTGAGGAATTTGAAGTGTTCTCTTTTCTTGTACAAAATATACGGCACTTTGGACCAAAAAAATCACTACATTTTCTCCTACTCAGAGAAGAAAGAAGATTCAGAACACTGCAGTAAAATTCAAAGCACCACAACAAAATATAACCTTCTGAAAGTGTCAATTCCAACCCTTTAATTTTTTATCCTGTATAGAGATAAAAAATACGTACTTGTGCAGCTCCAACTTCGGCTTCATAGATGGGAATGTCATTCCTACTGACGATCATAAAACAAGAAGTACTCGCCATCCAGATGCAGATCTAGCATAGCAATCCAGACAGGGACAAAATGTAATAATCACAAATAACTTTGATACTAAATGTGAAAAATTGGTCATTTCGCCTAATTACCTTGTCACATTAATCAACAATGTAAACACAACTCATCACATTGTCATATTAATCTTACTCTCACACAAAAATGTGAGAATAAAAATCACATATTTTTACATTAATACCAAATATAATTGTAAAATTGGTCACATTTTAGCAAAAAAAAAACAGTAATACTTTATACTCTCCACTGTAAATTGAATACCTGAAAAAAAGTGATAATCTGCGGTTGGAAGCATTCTAAATTATTCTAATTAATGGTAAGTTGCTGGATCTTCCAGGGTTTGAAACCCTTAAAGAAAAAACAGGTTGCAAGTTTTAGGGAGCAATCGGAATGTGAACCAGATTGTAGGTCTTAGGCAGCATTCGAAATTGGAACTCAAAAAACAGGTTGTAGATGACATGATTCATAGCAGAAAACACCCTAAAATTCTGGATACAAAGCTGAAATGAAAAAAAATAACAAAATAAAACTGTAACTAAAAAGAACCTGAAATCGGAAGACCAAAGCTTTTCTGATTGCACACTCGGTGTATTAGGGCTGCGTAAGTGCGTGATCCACTCGGAGTGACAGATAGCCACAGGAGGAAGACGATGGGCGATCGGAATGTGGAATCGCCTAAGGTCTGCGACTTGGGATGTTTCAGTACAAGCGTCTGTCAAACAAGCTAGATAAGTATAATTAAAACATCATTCACTCAAGAGAAAAATGCCAAATGATGTCATTTTTATGACAAATAAATACTCGAATATAAAAAACAAGATTGTTTTTTAGTTTTGATTTTTCATTTTCTTCTCATATTTTAGATTTTCAATTGTAAAATGGGAAAATTTTACAAATAGGACCAATGACTCATCTGATTTCCTAAAATAGGATAGCCGGAACTTCTAAGACCTTAATTAAGATGCAATGACAAAAATAACCTCAATTAGACCATTTGGAGTGGTGTGAGAGTCTAAATGTTAAAAATGGACTCCGTCCATATGAAAATAGTGTTTTGACTCTTATTTCTCTGCATTCCAGCACCGTCAATAAAATACACTCTACGCATTTTTTACATATCAGTTTAGTAAAACATTAATTAAATTATTATAATTAATATTTTCCCTTTAATTTTTTCTCCGATTAATTATAAAATAAAAAAGACATATTTCGATATAAAAATAAATAAATTTCATTATTTATTTTTTTACGTTTCTCGGTTAACAAAAAATGAACTTATTTCATATAAAGTTAGATTATGAAATATTCACTTATTTGTGAAGGTTGCATGAATTAAAAATATGTGTTATATGATTTCTTAGGCTAAAGAAAACTTCAACAGTTAAAATTTCAAAAAAAAATCTATTTTATATATTACATATTAGTGTCATATGAAAGATCATAAAAATTCATGAATTTTGATATATTTTTTGAAAAATTTGGAGAACAAATTAAAAAGTTACAAAAATTTAAAAGTTTTTGGGATTATAGTGACATCAGTATGACATCACCGTGACATCAGCAGAATGCATAACTGGCCTACTTTTTCTTTTTCTTTTCTTTTTCCTTTTCTTTTCCCCTCTCAATCCTCCCTCTATTTTTAGAACCCTCCATCCACTTACCCACTTTTACTACCCTCTATAACACACCACTAAATGAAATTAGGAGTCCAAAATTTCCATCTTTAACATTTTGGACTCCTAATACCTCACCACTCCAATTGGTCTTAAAAGCTAAACATCAACCGTCCCATCTGTAAGGTGTTAGAGACTGTATAACCAAGCTCATTCCCGTCCAGGATTGCCCCTCTGCAACCTCCACCGCCTCAGTAATTGATAGGGAGAGGGTGGGAGTAAGGTGTTAGAGACTGTATAACCAAGCTCATTCCGTCGATCCAACTCGACGAGGAGTTGGACGGGGGTAGGGGCGGTAGCCCCTGGCCGAAAGTTTTTGGATCCTTTTCTGTATGGGCCGCGAGTTTTTTTAAATTCCTGTTAGGCCACGCGCGCGTCCTATTACTGGTAGGGGTTAGGTTTTACTCACTATAAATACAAGCTCTCTCCTTGTAATCATGTATCCGAAATTAATAGCAATATCCTGGCTTGGTAGTGCTCCCAGACGTAGTCATTCGTAGCGAACTAGGTTACCAAATTTCGTGTGTTCTTCTTATTGTTTTCGTGTTGTGTGAGTTTATTCCTAACACCATCCACATGCCCTCTTTTGCCTATTTTCGAAAAACCGTCTCCTACATAATGTTTTCCGATTTTTTTCCGTTGCCATTTAAAACAAAGCTTCTTCCTCTGAGACGATGAATGCTTCACCGCGAACGACGAACACAATGTCAACGTTCAAGTTTTGAGCGTAATTGAAGCAAAATTCAATCACATTAAACCGGAACGAATAACATAGAACCACAACAAACATGGTGAAGCGAAAGAAGACTTCGAACAAGAAATGTGAAGAAAATCAAGCAAACAATAATCAAGTTTCAAACAGTGATTTTGAGACGAAGGAGAAGAATGAAAGAACCGAAGACAAAAAAGAAGAAGAAGAGCACAAACAAAGAAGGTGTTCTTCCATCTGGCAAGATAATCTCTGTACATACTCTTTTGTTTAATTTTCTGAAAAAAATTGAAATAATGACTACAATAGAAACCATTAGTTCATGAAATGCATTACCGACTTGCAATTTGGTTGTGGTTTTCATGTATGGTTCAATGTCATCATTATACTCTCAGTTACTTTTCACTTTTATATGTTTTAGATGGAATTAATGACTTTAAATTAGTGACTTGCAATTTGATTGAGGTTTTCATATATTTTTCATTGTCATCTTCATACTGTTAGTTAGTGTAATATGTTTTAGATTAAGATATTGACTTGAAATTGAGCTTTATGATTGGAAAAAATGAACATTTATTATTTATTATTCACGTCGCATTGAAATTGAAATTGAGCTTTATAAATTAGTATAATAACTGCCCAACTCATTACGATTTTGATATATGTTCATTGGCATCTACATTGACAAGTTGAGTTTAACACATTTAATAAGTTTAATATTCTACCAACATTATAAATCATAAACTATTCAATTTCTCATCATCATCATCATCATCATCATCATCATCATCATTACCCCAGTGCCACAAAGGCTCCCACCTACGATGGGGTGAGGGGGTCAGATGTACGCAGTCTTACCTCTGTACTAAAGCACAGAGAGACTGTTTCCGGATAACCCATAGTGAAAACCGCGTCAAAAATTGCATGGACTGACTGTTGCTTCATAACAAAACTATTCAATTTCTATATGTATATATATCAGGTCATTGTAAGATCTTGCACAAGAGGGCCGCTTGACTACAAGAAGGAATTAAAGGTTAACTGCTTCTCAAATTTGCACAATGGCATTGAAGGAATAAATGCATTGCTAAATGAGGAACAATGATGTGAGTTTTCTCGCACTTAAAATAGATCGTAATAGTGGTGTAAGTACGAGTATTGTCTCCACAGGGACGGACAAAAGGAAATCAAGAATTAATTAAATTCAGCGATTAAAAAGAAAATAAAATAAAAGCGTCGTGCGAGATTGGTTGGTTTGGAAAATAAAACTAATGCGAATAAAACAATTAAACTAGGGGGTTCTTTCTAATTAATGACGTAGGGAACAAGAATTGATTCCGGGGTAATCAGATTTCTGGCAGAACAGGCCTAATTACATGAATTTAATTTAATTGAGCCTAGCTAATCATTACTAAGTTCTTACCGCTCTCGCGGTGTAGAGTACAGTAATTTAGGGGACCGGGCTGATCTCTCATGCGACAGGATCCTAAATTATTGCCAAGACGAGCGAGCTTATGGCCCCTTAATCGCTACTAATCTCTTAGCGAACGATTAAGTGTGTGTGAATGTGTCCTAGAATAAACTAGATCTCTCTTAATTTATTCTACAAGCAATTGTAATTCTAGCCGCGGTTCCAGGTTACAAAAGATATCAGTTAAATTATTCAAACACAAATTAAACGGCATTCATGCAATTAAACCGAAAAGAATCTAGCCATCAATCATTATTAACCCCTTCATCAACCCCAAATCCCTAATTAAATTACTCACAATTCATAATTGAAGAATCAACAGAATTGGGATGAATAGAAATAATTGTCATTAATTAAAAAGATAGAACTTACAAAGAATCCCTTAATCTTGAAGAACAAGGCTTGAAAAGCTCTCAAAAATCGAAATAGGGTTTATCTCTCTAAGCTCATCCGTCAAAAACAGGCAAAACAGGGGCCTATTTATAGAAAAATCCGAAAACAGGTCGAAAATCAGGCCGCGCGGTCGTCCGCACGCCGTGCGGGTCACCGCGCGGTCACGCGCGCGTTTTTCTGTCTTCCGACTTTCGCTCCGTCCGCGCGGTGTGCGGGCGCCGCACTATGCAACCGCGCGGGTATTTCTGGGGGCTATTTCTGGACCGCGCGGTGTGCGGTTTCGGCCGCGCGGTGTGCGGTTCAGACTCCCCAACTATTTGCTCTCAGAATCGTCCGCGGGGCGTGTGGAACCGCACCGCGGGGCGCGCGGAATGCTCTTGGACCGTTTTCTTGCCATTTTCTTCCACGTTTGCTCCCGGATACTTCTTTAATCAATCCAAAGGCCGTTTAGTCATCAAATCTTTGCCGTGAACCTCCCGGTGGCCTCCAAAACTCTCAAATCTCTCTCGAATGTTCTCCAACTCTTCCCGATTGCTTTTCAAGCGCCGGTGCCGGACTCTAAATTCCTGATTTTGACTCCAAACAACACAAAACTCGAACCAACGCCCGATAAACATAACTTGAGCTAAAATTGAGACTTGTAACACCTTAAAGCTAGGAAAACCATCAAAAGCCGATCCCAACACGCATCAAATGCGTGTCTAAATACGGACTTATCAAACAACTTAAGGAGTTTAGGAACACTGCATTTGGGAAAATGTTAGACATTGAAAATGTTAGACATTGAAAATGTGCAATAGATGACAGGACAATTGTTGATTTTAATAGTAGAAAATCATGTCAAAAAGTTGAACAAGAAAGTGTACAAAGACCGCTTCATTTTCAACATCGGTGATAGACTTGTATACTTCTACAAGGAAGAGCTTGCATTACTAACATGATTTAAGATGGGAGGTAAGAAACCTATGATATCCACACAGACTACAGGAGAAATTTGGAAACAAAGAGCGGACATAAAGAGGGCATTTGAAGAGTTTGACAATACAATGGTGGAAAAATTGCCTTTGGATAGAGTGACGTTGGTTGTTCTGCATTTAATTGCTAATTTCCTGATTAGGAACCAGAAGAGTGTCAAATGCCCAGAGAAATACATCAACATGGTAGACAATCTGGAGTTGGTTAATGAATATCTATGGGGTGATGAAATCTGGGAAGATCTGTTTGAAAAAATTCCTAAATAGACACAGAACATCAAAAAAAGCAAAAAATGATAGGTATGGATTTCCATGCTTCAGTTTCGCTTTGCAACTATGGGCTTTTGAAAGTTTTCTGACACTTAGGAAGTCAAACGTGTGCAATATTGAAGAAGATAGAAGGGGATTATGGCCAAGGTTTCTGAAGTGGTCTGCACCTAAAAAGACATGTGTCATAACTGATCGGCTTAGACTTGCAAGTGTACAAGTGCCGATGTAGTAATA